GTCACGACTAGTTTTTGTTGCACGGATTAACGATGGATGATGTGATAATTGCTGAAGTTTACAAAATGGTGGTAATTTTCAAATTCGTAAACTAAAGTCAGATAATGAAGAACCTGAAGAAGAAACCACATTGAATTTGGCCCTTCTAATGGATTAGAGGTATGAGCTATTGATTTCTTTTTACAAGGGATGCTTGATAATTACTGATGGTTAAAATAATTATATAGATTTTTTTTGATACCAAGGAGCTAAACAAACAAAAAGTATACTATGTTCCATATGCCAAAAATTTTGCAGCTATTGATTCAATTCAATTATTCAATAATGGTCCTGACCATTTGTACCAGTCCACTGTATCTAATCATCACAATGTGAAGAACTCTGTTGGCTCTGTCATTCGCCTCAACAAACAAATAGATTTCTATTTTGTTGTACCAAAGGATGTCTTTCCACGTTTCAAGTATAATCAGAAATTTCTTAATGGAGAAGGTAAACCATATCGCAACCAACCTGAGTGGATGCGCAACATTACACAATTTGCCCTAGAGATAGATTGGGATGCATATATTGCTTTGGGTGAAAATGATGAATAGATTAGTTTTTGTTTTCATAGATAATTTGTATTATGAAAGCTAAGGGCATTAGTTGCTATTGATATCTATTTTTTTTACTATATAATGTTCTTAGAAGTGTGTTACATTTTCTGAAATCTAGGGTTGCTAAATAGCAAAACCAAAACTTGCTGAAAAAAAAAATATATCAAAATAATGATTTGAATTTTATTTGTATATCAATATTAATTATTATATTAATATCAATTGAGTGCTGACTGTATATTGTACCAATTTCTTAAATAGGAATGAACATTGATACATTTAAAAAAAAATTTTTTAAAGGAAAAAATGAGTGCTATGACAAGTTATTCAATTCATTAAATGAATCAATTAGTAGGAAGAAGTACCAATAGAATAACTCAATCAGTTATATTTTTACCAGCTGAAATGAGTTATAAATCAGTGTATAGAGATTTTCTAGCTGATCTGGAAGAAGATAACAAATTGAAATCCTTAAAATATGATGCCTTCAGAAAACTATGACATCAATTAACACCAGAAATTCAAATTATGAGTCCAAGAACTGACTTGTGTGAACTATTTGGTTTTATTTATATTTAGTAATTTGTGGCTATTATGAAAGTATTGAATTGAATTTCATGATTCCAGGACATACTAAATTTAAATGTGACGGTAGTTTTAGTTTGATTAAGAAACTCTATTGAAAAACAAGAGTAGATTGTGTAGATCATGTGGTTGAAGTGGTAAAAAAGTCTAGTCCAGCAGGATTAAATAAATCTCAATGTTATGAAGGTGGAAAGGGTTTTCAATACTTAGGTATCAAATCTATTTTAGGAATTTATTTTAAAAAATTAAATGGCCTACAAAAATATCAACATTTTCTTTTTGAAGCATCTAATCTTGGTACAGTGAAAGTTCAAGAAGTTGCTAATGGACCTTCTGTTGAGTTCAATTTATTGAAAACTAAGAAAGCAGATATTTTTGAAGAAATTAAAGCTCTATCTATTTTAGTGTTAATGCCACCTCCTTTGGATTACAAAAGGCAAGAATATCTTTACCAGAATATTCGTCCATTTGTTAGAGATGAATTCAAAGATATTACTTGCCCAAAACCATTCTATATTGGCAACAAATAAAATATTTGGAATAAAATTACTTCCATGACTATATCACGACCTTATCACTAATTTGTCTCTTGCTGTCATTAAGTTTAATAAGTTTAATCTTTTTTCCACTTTTAAAATAAAAAAGTACTAAAATAATTTGTATACTTAATATGCCCTCATAAAAATGATATAAGTATATTAAAAGAATAAATAAAAAAAAGGAAATAAAAAGAAAGTCATGACAAACATTATAAATGAACTGGAAGAAAGTAATAAAAAACTGATAGAAGAAAATGAAAATTTAAAGAAGCAATTAGCAGATAAAGAAGAAAATCTTAAATTAAAAATCTAACATGTTACTGGTCAGTCTATTGATGGAAATAGTGAAGTTAGCATGTATGCACCATGATGATATAAGAAACTAAACAAGCAATGAATGGATGAAGGCAAATTAAGAATGGCAGTAGATCCTAATGAAACTAGAGAATGAGCCAATAATTGTAAAAGAGTTTGATTTGATAACATTACTATTGAAGAAATGCTAGATGGATTCATTGAATATTCAAATGATTTAGGAGGTAATTATGCTAAAAGTTATTCAAAAATAAGTAATCTAAATGGTCAATTATATCAACAAAAGAGAGATTATGAAGAAAAGATTAAGGAGTTAGAGGCAAAAAAGGAGAAATTGGAAGCAAGAGTAGAAGAGTTAGATGATGAAGTATGAATGGAGCGAGAAGAGGCTGAAAAAGCACTAAATAAAGCCATGGAATGGAGAAAATGACAAATGTTTGAAACTGTGTTGAAGCATGATGCTGCAATGGGTAAACTTCAAGACCGAATAGATTTATTGGAAAATAATTTATCAGCTAAAAATCAAGAAATAAACTGAAGGAATTATTTAGAAAGCAAAGAATTACCAGCTCTACCAAAACAACAAAAAGAAAATAGATTGCAAAAGTTCAAGCAATTAGTAAGTAAAGTAAAAGAAAAGACTAAAGAGAAGTTCCAGACTTTTATTGTTCAAAAGAACAAGTAAGCCAATATGAGATTAGAATATAGAATTTGGAATGGAGAAAATGACAAATGTTTGAAACTGTGTTGAAGCATGATGCTGCAATGGGTAAACTTCAAGACCGAATAGATTTATTGGAAAATAATTTATCAGCTAAAAATCAAGAAATAAACTGAAGGAATTATTTAGAAAGCAAAGAATTACCAGCTCTACCAAAACAACAAAAAGAAAATAGATTGCAAAAGTTCAAGCAATTAGTAAGTAAAGTAAAAGAAAAGACTAAAGAGAAGTTCCAGACTTTTATTGTTCAAAAGAACAAGTAAGCCAATATGAGATTAGAATATAGAATTCTGGAAATAGCCCAGGGAGATGAACAAGAGTGTAACTTCTGCTTTCTAGATTTTGATGACCCAACTCTCCTTAATTTTGATACTGCTCCTGCTACTCATCAAATGGTGGCTCGTAATACTCCTGATGGTTATTCTGACATTGTCTTTATCTGTGGTGAATGTAAAAAAGATTATGATAATAATACTCTTCCATGATGTGAGAAATGTGGTAGGTTAAAAAGGAATAGAAACAGATGTTTTTGTAGTCATTTAAAAGCTAAATCAACTAAACCACTTTCTGACAAAGAACTACTTTCACAAGCTTTCAGTTTTCGCCTAGAAAATAAAACTAGAGAACTAGAAAAAGAGTTATCAATTACCAAAGAAGAATTAAAAGTTGAAAAAGAAGAAGTAGCCAAGTTTCAGGAAAAATCAGAAGAGTGAAGTAAAAAGCAAAAACAGGAGTTATTAGATAAGATAAAAAGTTTAGAAGAAAAAATTAATCATCTAGAAGAAGAAAACAGGAAATTAAAAGATCAACAGAATGGTCAATTAACTGCACAAATTGAAGTTAAAGAGACTAAAAGATGATCTTGATTGAAAATAAAAAAGTAATTGAGGAAATTTCTCTCTGTATAAATTGAAATTCATTCTAACTATCATAGTTATTTTCCTTTTAAAGATTTTTGCTTTTCGTTAGGTAATAATGCATCATCATGATGCTTTCTTTTTCTAATATTTATTATTTTTCTTTCTTCATGGTAAATTTCATAAGTAATCCTTTCTTTTTTTAGATAAGCTTCCAGTGTCTGAGTATCATTTATTTTGAAAATGCAAGGAGCAATTTTTTCACCTTGTTCTTTTTTTAAAATACTTCTGATAGTGCTGTAATTCTTGGGTTCCATAGTAGACCTAATGTAAATTAGCTTCATATTAACTATTTTTATATAGGAGTAATTCTAATATATTACATATAAAATTATGTTAGTAGTACAATATTTTGATCCCTGAAATCCTTGGTAATACAAATGCTCACTTTGTCTGGTTTTGTTGCAGTATGCAACAGGAGAGAACGTACTGGGAACACAAAAATTAACAGGAGGGAATACAAATTTTAACCCATGCAATTTTGTTGATTGACCAATTAAAATCGCGAATTTGATAACGTAGAAATAAATATGGGTTTGATTCATTTTGTCAACAAT